TTGCCTGTCAGCTTAGACATTGCCATACTACACATATACTGTAATAACTAAAATAACAGAAATAAATAAATAAACAAATCAATAATACACACAAACAACCTATAGAGAAATTATAGAGATCATCTTGGAAAAGCAAAATGTGTTTGTCATAACATTATATTCTGATCAAAATTCTGACTGATTGCAAAAGCTGCCAGACAAGACAGGTTTTTAAAAAACACATTTAGGCTGGACTAATTACTTAACTATAAAGAAAACTGTGCTTATTGTGTCCGTTAAACATCAGAGAATTAGAGGTCATCCAGTTTGTCTTTAAGACTTGGGATGTCTGTATCTGAGGGGGTTAAGCAGGTCATCTACTAATTATTATGTTAATTATAAGGTTATATGTTTTTATTAATTAAAAGCATAAAGTAACCAATCCCACATACCTGTTCTCAAAACTCTTGGTTAATATTTGAACTTATAAGAGGAGTGACAATGGGAAGAAACAAAAAAATCACCACTAAGAATCGATGGCACAAGATGGCAAATGTAAATGAAAATTAAACTAAAATGAATGTAAATGAAACTGGAAGTTTAACTGGAGTCGATACAAAACTTTAAAAATAACAGCTAAATGGTTTTCAATCAGGATTCACTAACATCAATCAGACAAATAGCTGAGGCTGAGATACGAACTGAAAAGGTGGAAGATTTTGTTCAAAATGTGGAACAGTTAGACAAGATGATAAAAATGATGAAATATCAGGAAAATCAACTACTTGACCAAGAAGGGAGATCTTTAAAGAATAAGAATATTCACTATTTCTGAAGGAATGGAGGGATTTTGTAAAGAAGCTTCTACAAAACACAATGTGGATTCACCTGGCTACAGAGCTGAATATGGTAAATGGCCTGCATTTGTATAGCACTTTTCTAGTCCTTAAGGACCCCAAAGCGCTTTACACTACATTCAGTCATTCACCCACTGGTGATGGCAAGCTACATTGTAGCCACAGCTGCCCTGGGGCGCACTGACAGAGG